TGCTCAAGTGCCATGACGTCAGCCTAGCTCACAGCAACCTCAAACTCCTGGGCTCAAGCAATCCTGCTGCCTCAGCTCCCGAGTAGCTGGGACTACAGGATGCGCCACCATGCCTGGCTAATTTATATAATATATATAATATATATATATATATATACACACACACACATATATAGTTGTTCAGCTAATTTCTTTCTATTTTTTAGTAGAGATGGGGTCTCACTCTTGCTCAGGCTCGTCTTGGACTCCTGACCTCGAACGATCCTCCCATCTAGCCTCCTAGAATGCTGGGATTACAGGCGTGAGCCATCGTGCTCAGCCAACTCTTGTAAACTTTAATGTTATATAAAAAAGAAAAAAATTCACATACATACATAGTTATTTATTTGCTTGTTTATGCATAAAATATCTGTATAAAGTTAGGAAAGAATCTGATAATATTACTATTTCCAGAGAGAAGCAACTGGGTGACTGAGAGACAGGGTGGCACTGAGACTTACTTTTTAATCTATGTTTTTGCATCTTTTGAGTTTGGAACCATGCATTATTAAAAGTAAAAGTATTTACACAGGAGCTGAAAATATGAAAGACATTTCCTCAGAAAACTGTTTGAAAACCATTATGTGAGTAATTAGCTCCCTTCTCCAGGAATAGTCAATAGTAAAATACAATTGGACATAAGAAAATTTGATTTAAAAAATTTTGTACAAAAAGGAGTCTAGCCGGGCGTGGTGGCTCACGCTTAATCCTAGACTGTTGGCGGAGAGGCGAGGCGGAGCGGTTGCTCAAGGTCAGGAGTTTCGAAACCAGCCTGAGCGAGACCCGTCTCTACCAAATGAAATACCTTAATTGGACACTAAAATATATATACAAACATTATTCAGGGCATGGTGGTGTGCATGCCTGGTAGTCCCAGCTCTGGGAGTGCTGAGAGGCAGTAGGATCGCTGGGCCCGGAGATGTGAGGTGTGTGAGGCCAGGCTTGACGCCAACGGAATCCACTCTAGCCTGGGGCAACAAAGTGAGACGTCTGTCTCAAAAAAACAAAACAACAAATCAAAAGCAAACAAAAACACGCAAACAAAAAGGGAGTCTACCTTAGCAATCTTGGAAGGCCGAGGCGGGCGGACATTTGAGCTACAGGGGTTGGAGGACTAGGCTGAGCACGAGCGAGGACGCCTGTCTCGTTTACAAAAATAGAGATAGCCAGGCATGGGTGGGAGTGTTTCCCTGTAGTCCCGAGCTCGTAGGGAGGCTGAGGGCAGGAGGATGCATTGAGCCAGGAGTTTGAGGTTGCTGTGATTGAGCTGGGCTTGATGCCGCATCTGTAGGCCCCGGCAATCAGAGTGAGACTCTGGTCACTTAAAAAAAAAAAAAAAAAAGAGGAGTCCCGAACGTGGCTAACGTCTGTAATCCCAGGAATTTTGGGAGTCGCGCGGATGGGAAGATACTGTGTGAGCCAGGAGTTGTGAGGGACAGCCTAGGCAAAAGGGATAGCCCATCTCTACGCCAAGAAAAAAACACAGATCGCAAAAAATGATCCAGGGCATGCATCTGTAGTTCCAGCTACTTGGGCGGCTGAGGCAGGAGGATCAATTGAGCCTGGGAATTCAAGGTTGCAGTGAGCTTTGATCATACCGCAGCACTGAAGCCTGGGGTACAGAACAAGACACTGTCTCAAAAAAAAAAAAAAAAAAAATGTGCAGAAAGGAAAAACACCATAATCTTTACTTTTGACTCAAATTTTTTTTTTTTGAGACACAGTCTTACTCTGTTGCCCAGGCTAGAGTGCCATGGTATCAGCCTAGCTCACAGCAACCTCAAACTCCTGGGCTCAAGAGATCCTCCTGCCTCAGCCTCCCGAGTAGCTGGGACTACAGGCATGTGCCACTATGCCTAGCTAATTTATATGTACATACATACATATATATATATTTTAGTTGTCCAGCTAATTTCTTTCTATTTTTTTAATAGAGATGGGGTCTCGCTTTTGCTCAGGCTGGTCTCAAACTCCTGAGCTCAAATGATCCACCTGCCTGGGCCTCCTAGAGTGCTAGGATTACAGGTGTGAGCCACCATACCCTGCCGACTCAAATATTTGTCTACATATTATCTTCCTGTATTATTTACTATATATATATACACACATATGTGCATATGCCGATATTTTAAACATTAATAATAAAAGTGAACATATTTTTATTTGGCTTTTTAAAATTTGGCTTTCAAATTTCTAAGGAATGAAGAGATACTTTTATGGTTCCTGTGAACTATATTTTCAATTCTCTCATGCTGATATATTACAATTTTCTAAACCGTTTCTTCACTCTTTGAAATTTAGGTGGTTCCAGATATTTTTAAGGTAATATGGGTAATGCTGTAATGATTATCGCCTCTCAAAAAGCTTTCTGTTTCTAATTATATCTCATTTCTTAGCAATGTTGTTATTGTCCCAGAAGTAACTCTGTTTTCATTTTCTTTTCTAAATGATTGTACCAATTTGCAGTTTTATCAGCCAATGCTGTGAGGCTTTATTCCAACCTTGCTACCATTGAGTGTTATTTCAAACATTCTTGTAATTTAGTTGGTATATAATGATACCTCATTTGCTTTACTTTTTGTGTCTTGATTATTAGAGGATCAACTTTTTAAAACAATTGTTTACATTTTTTTATTTCCTCTTGGAATGTCTCGCCTCTAAAAAGCAGAGATACTACTGTTTTCACTTTTATTCCTGGGTCATGGGTTTCTAGAAGGTCAGAACCACATTTTATTTTTACTGATAATGTGAGCCTTACCCAGCAGGTCTGGGACAGCTTTTCTATTCAGTCCACTAGGAAAGCATTGGAATCTTCTCTATCTAATGAAGCTTTTTATAGAAAACAACTCTACCCCAACCTTCTCAGAAACAAAGACAGGTGACAGAAAGTTTTCCCTCTTGGCACAACTCATGAAGTAGTTGGGGGGCTGGGCATGGTGGCTCATGCCTGTAATCCTAGCACTCTCGGAGGCCGAGGCAGGCGGATTGCTTGAGGTCAGGAGTTCGAAACCAGCCTGAGCAAGAGCGAGACCCCCCTCTCTACTATAAATAGAAAGAAATTAATTGGCCAACTAATATATATATAAAATTAGCTGGGCATGGTGGCGCATGCCTGTAGTCCCAGCTACTCGGGAGGCTGAGGCAGAAGGATCGCTTGAGCCCAGGAGTTTGAGGTTGCTGTGAGGTAGGCTGACGCCACGGCACTCATTCTAGCCTGGGCAACAAAGTGAGACTCTGTCTCAAAAAACAAAAAAGAAAAAAAGAAGTAGTGGGGGAAAGCAGGAGCATATTTTAAAACCAGATAGTTCTTCAAATTGTTCCTTGTTTCTGGATCCTGACTTCCTCCGTCCTTTTCAGTGGAGTTCTTGAGGATTTTTTATCTTCTAAGATTTTAGGATAGAAACTGCAAGTTAGTGGCCAGTAGGTCTAGAAGGGGACCTGGAATGCTTTGCCAGTTTGCCAGGAACAGAGTCTCGCTTTGTTGCCCAGGCTAGAGTGAGTGCCATGGCGTCAGCCTAGCTCACAGCAACCTCAAACTCCTGGGCTCAAGCAATCCTCCTGCCTCAGCCTCCCGAGTAGCTGGGACTACAGGCATGCGCCACCATGCCCGGCTAATTTTTTCCATATATATTAGTTGACCAATTAATTTCTTTCTATTTATAGTAGAGATGGGGTCTTGCTCTTGCTCAGGCTGGTTTCGAACTCGTGACCTGGAGCAATCTGCCCGCCTCGGCCTCCCAGTGTGCTAGGATTACAGGGATGAGCCACAGCGCTGGCCTGCCAGGAATTTTCTTTCTTTCTTTTCTTTTTTTCCCTGTCAGGAACTCTCTTATATCAAATTCTATCCTACTGTTGACTTTGGAGGAAAGAGGGTAAATACTCTTTCAGTTTTCTGAGAAACGGTTTTTTAAACTTTGTCCAGATTTCTACTTTGGCGAGGGGGTGGGATTAGAGGATCTGGAAGTCTGGGCTTGAGCACTTTCATGGCAACAATTGGCAGGAGTTGAGAGAGGAAGGGGCTGGGTACTTCAGAGAGGCATGTCTTTTCTGGGCTGGCACAGTTCCCACCCTTGTCTCAAACTGGCCTGCCACCTTCCTTTGTAACCCTGGCTTGGGCTTCCCCAGAACCTTTGGCGATCTTCTGAAGAGCGAAACGCCACAGCACCCTCTAGTGGTATCTGTGGCGTAACCAGATCTTTGAAAAAGCTATGCCAGGAATTTACTACTAAATTTCAGAACTGACTCAGCAAAGCAAATCTACAAAAAAAGGACAGAGTCTCACAGTTTCATTTACGACCTCAGGGTTTTCTTTTATACATTGGCTTTTAGGGCCTCGTTATATAATCAGTTCTTGAGCTCTCAGTGGGTTCTCATCACCTCTCTGGATGTTGCAGTACATGCTCCCCCCTCATCCCTCATCAAGTATGTGTGGAATTTTCATCCGCCAAACTTTTCCTATCTCTCCTCAGGGCAGTGCTAGAATCAACTCTTTAGTTCAAGTTAAATATGAAAATAAGCTCTAATTTAAAATAAAAGGAAAGGGAAAAAATGGCTTCTATGTTTGTATTTGGTCTCTCAACTTTGAAAGCTTTATTCTGAAGTGAGTGGAGTGGCAAAAAAGAAACATCAGGCCGTGTTCAGATGTCCTGGTGTATAACATGGGTCTGAACTTGCCATTCCACAGTTGGGTGTTGGCATCCTTGGAGGGTTTGCACCAGCTCAGTTTCCACTAGCAAGAAGAGACTAAAGGGGAGAAATCATCTCGTTGCAGAGCGGCAAGCACCGAGTAGTAATGTCTCCCTGTACTTTTTTTTCTTTCCCTTCTTTTTTAAAGGTAGAAAACCTGATTGTACAAACCCTGCTGAGGCTAATGTTGAAGAATCTGAGCCAACTCTCCTGATAAAACCTGAAGATATTGTCTTAAAAGAACCAGGGAGCTCAGATAAGACTCTGCGGACACTTCTGAGACCAAGTGATAAAGTTTCTGATGAGTATAAGACAAGTTCTTCTGAGATCAATGCAGTTGTGGGAGCCAGTGCCTCTATTTGTGAGTATGCCACATTATTTATTGAGTTTTAAAAGGATCAGCAAACCTAGAAGTTTGAAGTGTCCTTGGTCTGCCTTTGCATTGTCCCCTGCCTCTCTCTATTAGGTGGTAAGTTTCTCCAGAGCCTTGTACCGTTCATATAATTGTGTATTCTAAGCACCTGGGGTTGGAGGTTACACACAAATGTCGGTTGAACTGAACCATTGGTAATGATGACCCAAGTAAAACGATCCTTTATATATGTTAATGAAATGGAAACCATTATAAATCAGAGCATTGAATGTTATACATTGTAGTAATTCAGACTTCACCAAATACTAGGAGACTTTTAAGCCATGTGATTCCTTAGCTCCACACATATTTTCTTTCAAATATTTAAAGACCTTTTACAAAACATTATTTCTCTACATCTTCATTCCCCATATATTAGTTTGCTAGGGCTGCTGTAATAAAGTGCCACCAACTGGGTGTTGGAACAGCATTTTATTGTCTCATGGTTCTGGAGGCTTGAAGTCTGGGATCAAGTTGTCAGTAGGGTTTGTCCTCCTACAGATTGTGAAGGAGAATCTGCCCATGCTTTTCCCCTAGATTCTGATGATCTGCTGACAGTCTTTGGCACTACTTGGCTTCTGCTGTATCACCATGATCTTGGCCTTTTAAATTAACTAATTAATTGTTTTTGGAGACAGGGTCTCACTCTGTCACTCAGGCTAAAGCTCAGTGCACGTTAGCTTACTGGAGCCTTGAACTCCTGGGCTCAAGGGATGCTCCTGCCTCAGCCTCCTAAGTAGCTAGGACTACAGGCATGCATCATCACACCTGGCTATTTTTTTTATTTTCATTTTTATGGGGATGGGGTTACCAGCTATGTCACCCTGGCTGGTGTTGAACTCCTCGCCTCAAATGAGCCTCCTGCCTTGGCCTCCAAAGTGCTGGGATTATAAGCATGAGAGACCATAACCAGCCTGATCTCTGCCTTTATTTTCGCATGGCATGCATGTATGCATGTCTGTGTCCAAATTTCTCCTTTTTTATAAGACTCTAGCCATATTAGATAGAGGCCCACCATACTCCAGTATACCATCAATGTAATTAATTACATCTGAAATGGCCTCATTTTCCAAAAAAGGTCACACTCTGAGGTACTGAGGTTTAGCACTTCAACATATGAGTTTTGAGAGAATACAATGCAACCCATAACATCCATATGTCAATATTAGCATGATAAATATTAGTTATTTAGAAAGACTATTTTATGTTGGTCAAGAGCACTTCCTTGGACTAAGGACATGATTAAGGATTTACATATTTTTCTCAACTGGATTTTATAAACGTGCTATACAGTGTAGTGGAATGAAATCTTTCTACTCCCCTTAGCTGTGCAATAGAAATATAATTGAAATCGCTTGTGCATTTAAGAATTTTCTAGTACATTAAAAAGGTCACATTAAAAAAGAAACAGGGGAAATTACATTTAATAGTATATATCTGGCCGGGCGCCGTGGCTCATGCCTGTAATCCTAGCACTTGGGAGGCTGAGACGGGTGGATTGCTCGAGGTCAGGAGTCCAAAACCAGCCTGAGCAAGAGCGAGACCCCATCTCTGCTATAAATAGAAAGAAATTAATTCTCCAACTAATATATATATATAGAAAAAAAATTAGCCAGGCATGGTGGAGCATACCTGTAGTCCTTGGCAGTAGGATCGCTTGAGCCCAGGAGTTTGAGGTTGCTGTGAGCTAGGCTGATGCCACGGCACTCACTCTAGCCTGGGCAACAAAGCGAGACTCAAAAAAAAAAAAAAAAATAGCATATATCCAAAATATTCTCATTTAAATAACCAATATACAAATTATTAAATATTTCACTTTTTTGGTATTAAAGTCTTTGAATTTTACATTTAGATTACATTGCAATTCAATCTTTCCACATTACAAGTGCTCAGTAGCTGCATGGGGCAGGTGGTTACTGTATTATACAGCTTAGTTTTAGAATGTTTGTTTTCCTTCATCATCCACTTTCCTAGGTTACCCCACCTGTGGTGTTCCAACCATTCGATCTGATATTCCTGTCCCCCGAATTCGTCGTGTCAGTGATAGAACTAACTATGGTGAAGAGGGCAATGCTTATTCATTACTATATCCTACCATCTTTGCCCAGAAAGGAGTGTTCGAAAGAGACTTCTTCAAGACCAGATCAAAAAAAGAGGTACAGCATATTATTTCAAAAAACCTTGTGTAAACATACAAAGATGGAAATGTTTATTACGCATCAATGACTGCTATGACTTTTTTCAAAACTTGAGCTTTTTTTATATTACAGTGTCTATAGAATCCCCAAATATAGGATTCTTGATTAACAATGTTTAACTTGGTTGTGACATTCTTATACAATTCTTAAAGTAGAATTTACTCTGTGACAGGAAGAATTTCATTCATGTTATATATTCACTATGGCCCATGTATTGAAAAATATTCTTCTAAAACATTCAATACTATTCTCAGTTGAGAAATGGAACAAGGATTAATCCCTTCCTTCCTTGTGTAAGTATCCTTATGGTCTTGGGCCTCCAGAACAAAAGAATTAGCATGAAGAGGATCACTCTGCCATGCTTCTTGTCTGCTGCTCTCATATGTCTCAGATTATCTGTGACAAGCATTGATTTATTCTGTCCTTTTGCTACACCATATGTGAGTATATATATATATATATATATTTTTTTTTTTTTTTTTGACTAAGAAAGCATGGTCCCCACATCCTAGATGATCCTATTCCTAGGTGGGCTATAGAGTAGGTGTAACCAGCTAGGTCAGAATAGCCACTGGGTGCTGAGGGCCAAGGACCAATAGCTGTGTTCGGTCAGACCAGCCTGTCTATATCGGTGCTAAGCAAAACAGGGTGTAATTCAGGAGCACCTGCTTCCTCAGAAACTTCATAGCCAGAGTTAGAAATGGTAGGAATAGACCTATGATGCCCTCTGGCACTTCAAATAAAGGGTTGATGGCTTGAAAACTTACTAAATACTAAGTGAATTAATGGCAGATTCATTTCAACAATTTATTTCCACTGAGGCAGGGGAGAAAGGAAGGAGAAACTCAGAGGATTATGCCTGCTTACTGGCCCTAAAGGAGAAACCCAGTACCCTTCCCAGAGGTCAGAGAAGAGATACCCCCAGACTGTGTTTTCTCTTCCTTCCATCACTCTAAAGGGCCTATGAAATAGGAGGACTGCAAGGTTGCAAAAAGAAGCAAAAGTCTCCTGCTTGTTTCACATGCCTAAAAATTCTTTTAATTAGGAAGTCATCCTTTTTCTTACAACTCTAGATAAAAAGTAAGAACTCAAATTCCTGGTTGGAGTAATAATGTTAACAGTACTGATAGAATGCTGATCTAGTGGAGGAATGCCTCCAGAGGAAGAGGCAAGGAAGCAGGGAAGAAGGTCTGGGATGCTCAAGACTAAATGAGGCCACTTCCTGAGTTTACTCTGCAGGGGCTTTAAAAATTTTTGTTTGTTTGTTTGTTTGTTTATTTATTTATTTATTTATTTCAGGAATATTACGGGGATACACGTTTTGGTTACATAATTTGCTTTTGTACAGTTTGAGTCAGAGTTATAGGTGTGCCCTTCACACAGATAGTGTGTCTTGTACCTGTTAGGTGTGAATTTACGCATACCCTCCTTCCCCCTCCTCTTGCTTGATTTCCATTGAGTTTTGAGTTTTGCTTCTAATATGTGCACATGAGTGTTGACCAATTAGTTCTAATTTAGTATTGAGTACATGTGGTGTTTGTTTTTACAGTCTTGTGATAATTCACTTAGAAGAATGGTCTTCAGTTCCATCCAGGTTGTTACAAAAGAAACTAGATCACCTTTTCTTGTGGCTGAGTGGTACTCCATGGTATACATATACCACATTTTATTAATCTACACATATATTGGAGGGCACTAGAGTTGTTTACACATTTTTGCAATTGTGAATTTTGCTGCTGTAAACATTTGAGTGCAAGTGTCTTTTTGATAAAATGTCTTTTTTCCCTTTGGGTAAATATGTAGTAGTGGGATTGCTGGACCAAATGGTAGGTTTACTTTTAGTTCTTGGAGGTATTTCCAAACTGTTTTCCATAGAGGTTGTACTAGTTTGCAGTCCCACCAACAGTGTATAAGAGTTCCCTTCTCTCTGCATTCACACTAGCATCTGTTGTTTTGGGACTTTTAGATAACAACCATTCTCACTGAAGTTAGGTGATATCTCATTGTGGTTTTGATTTGCATTTCCCTGATGATTGAGCATTTTCTTCATGTGTTTCTTGGCCACTAGTGTATCTTGAAAAGTTTCTGTTCATGTCTTTTGCCCACTTTTTAATGGAGTTGCTTGATTTTTTCTTGCTAATTTGCTTGAGTACTTTGTAGATTCTTGTTATAAGCCCTTTATTGGATGTATAGCATGCAAATATTTTCTTCCATTCTGTAGGCTATTTGCTCTACTGATTGTGCTCTTGGCTGTGCAGAAGCTTTTTAATTGATCAGGTCCCATTTATTTAATTTTGTTCTTGCTGTGATTGCTTTTGGGGTCTTCTTAATAAATTCTTTGCCTAGACCAATATTTAGAAGAGTTTTTCCAACATTTTCTTCCAGAATTCTTATAGCTTCATGCCTTAGGTTTAGGTCTATTATTCAGGGTAAATTAATTTTTCTGAGTAATGAGAGATATGGATCCTGTTTCAGTCTTCTACATGTGGCTATCCAATTTTCCTAGCACTATTTGTCAAATAGGGATTCTTTTCTCCAGTGTATGTTTTTGTCTGCTTTTCAACAATCAGATGGCAATATGAGGATGGTTTCATATATGGGTTCTCTTTTCTGATCCATAGACCTATGTCTTTGTTTTTGTGCCAGTGTGATACTGTTTTGGTTACTATAGCCTTGCAGTATAGCCTGAAGTCTGGTAAATAGATGCCTCCTGATTCGTTCTTATTCTGTAAGGTTGCGTTGGCTATTCTGCAGGGGCTTTTTTTTACCCACTATTGGGGTATTGAGGTGTTTTTGCCTTATAGCTGCAGTTGCTAGCAACTCTGCTCTTCTGAGTTTCAGAATTTGATTTGTATTTGAACAATATTTGATTTGTATTGGAACAGTGTTTGATTATACTGCTAATTTCCCACAAGGGCACATCATTTCTAAGATATCTTTTAATTTTTGTTGAGATTCTGTTTAATAAATGCATTCTGCAACTATTCTATTTCTTTGGCTTTCCTATTCACTGTCTAACCATTCATGTCCCTCTTTTTTTTTTGCTGTTTCCCTGTATGCTTCATAGAAAAGGCTGCTACTTTTAAATTCAGTTTCTTTCTTCTTTTAAATTTAGTTTCTTTTTAAAATTTTATTTTCACATCTTTTATTCCCTCTACTCATTCTATCTTTTCTTCACATTACTAGTGCTTACTTTCCTTTGTTATGTATTTTTTTCTGAGACATAAGAAGCATGTTTCCCTCCCCCTTCATCTATTTTAATAATTATCACTGCAGAGAGATTATTGGTAGTCAAAGTTTCTTGGTTTTCAGTGCGCTCAGCTTTAGTGTACTCCCTCAATAGATAGGCTATCTCTCTAGCATTTGCACATCCATGACCATAGTTAAAGTTTACAGCAGGCCCATTAGATTAATTTTATAAATGCTCCTATTTTTTTTTTTTTTGAGGCAGAGTCTCACTTTGTTACCCAGGCTAGAATGAGTGCCATGGCGTCAGCCTAGCTCACAGCAACCTCAAACTCCTGGGCTCAAGCAATCCTGCTGCCTCAGCCTCCCGAGTAGCTGGGACTACAGGCATGTGCCACCATGCCGGGCTAATTTTTTCTATATATATTAGTTGGCCAATTAATTTCTTTCTGTTTATAGTAGAGACGAGGTCTCGCTCTTGCTCAGGCTGGTTTCAAACTCCTGACCTTGAGCAATCCACCCGCCTCGGCCTCCCAGAGTGCTAGGATTACAGGCGTGAACCACCGCGCCCGGCTAAATGCTCCTATTTTAAAGAAAAGAAAATTAATATTCAAGCGGCTTATGTGGCACACACAAGATCATAATGACAATAAATGACCAAGATGGAACTCATTACTCTTTTTACTTGAATGTTGCTGCTGGTTTTTAAAATGATCAGATAGAATTGAAAGCAATTTTATATATTTGCTAGTACAGTTAAATATTCTCATATGAGAGTATTCATGATTTCCTGAGCTGAAAGTACTAAAATTTTAATATTTTCCCATTATATTAATACATACACAAGCACACACATATACACATATTTTTGGGGATAAATATACATAGACTTAGATGTTGTAAAAATATTTTTAAATACAAATTTTAAAACATATAAATCTTGGTCTGACTTAAAATGCTTTTTTCTAGATTGCAGAGATATTATGTAACATTGGTGTCAAGCTTTCTGATGAAGAGTTTGAACATGTATGGAATCTTGCATCAAAAAAACATCACAGAGGAGAAGTTTGTGTTGAGAGCATCAGAAATGTTCTAGATGAGCTACAGCATGCAGACCGGATCAAGTGTGAAACACCTATGTGATATTTTTGGAGTTCATTCATTTAAACAAAAGAATTATTAAAACTGTGTTTATATAAAATATTCAATCCATTCTGCTTTTGGATATTATTTTAGATTGAATTCAGCAATCACGGTGGTAGGACTCATGTCTGTATGTATTGCTAATAAATTAGATTTGGGATTTTAAAATTTATTTTATTGTTTTCTTTAAAGCGCTCAAAGACTTGAGAAGTGCTTGAAGAGTTAAACTTCAGTCTCACTAAAGGCATAGTTCAGAATGATATTAGAAGATTGGCAGGTCTAAGAAGAATTCCATGCATTTTAGTCGGTTGTCTGAAATTCTTTTTTTATTTTATTTTTGAGATGTTGCCCAGGCTGATCTCAAACTACTGGCCTCTAGTGATCTTCTTCCCTCAGCCTCCCAAAGTGCTAGGATTACAGATGTGAGCCAATACGCCTGGCCATGAAATTCAAAGTCTGGTTTGTTATGCCAAGTTCATAAAACTTTGTCTTCGACATTTTGTTATTTACTTTCTTTGTTGGTTAAGCCAATTTGAACTGCAATTTCTATCACAGGTGATCAAAAATGTAGCAATACCCAAGTATTAAAAGGATTCATATTTATATAGTGGGCTGAAAGTTGGATCAGAAAAAATGGATCCTGACTTATTTCTTCCTTTTTCATTAAAATGTTACTTATCTTTCTTTTTCCTATATCCCAAGTCATCACACACACACACACACACACAAATTACTTATCTTTTAAAAATTAATTATATAGGCCAGACGAGGTGGCTTATGCTTATAATTCCAGGACTTGGGAAGCCAAGGCAGGAGAATCATTTGAGCCCAGGAGTTTGAGACCAGCCTGGGCAATATATTAAGATCCTCTCTCTAAAAAATAAATAAGTAAATAGGAAAAATTAGCTGAATGTGGTGGCATGTCCTGTAGTCCCAGCTACTTGGGAGGCTGAGGCAGAAGGATTGCTTGAGCCCAGGAGTTCAAGGCTGCCGTGCACTATGATTGTGTAACTACACTCTAGCCTGGGTGACAGAACAAGACCCTATCTCTTAAAAAAGAAAAAAAAATTATATAAAAGAACAAATGAGGAATACAGCTAGTGGAGCTCTTTCCATATAATAAAAACAACAACAATAACATAAGGATTGGGGAATAAGCACTCCCTTTCAAATGTTCTCCAAATCAGTGTTCTGTTAACGCTCTTGGCTTAAGTTATTAGCCTGTGGTCAAGCAGGCATATTTATGGCCATTGTCCTTGAGGGAGATGAGCCATCTTTTAGAATGGTCCTGACACATTTTTAAAAATCTACTCCCCCAGTACCAACTTAGGCTCCTTTGTGTATCCTCTTTATAGTAGTTGGTGGACTGTTTAGATTTTGTCCCTGGTAGGCTATAAAATGAGTCAGAATTATACATTTTTAACTTCAAAGTAACTCTGTTTACAAATTGGAAAGTTAACTTTTTATTCTTTCATTCCCGCTTACACTCAATCACGTTGTCTAACATAGTGTACAAGAAATTCTATTAATACGATGAGAATAAATAATAGCATTAAGATACTCCAGTATTCTACTGTAGCTGGTCTATAAAAAGAAAATGAAAAAAAAACCACAAAAATTAAAATAATATATTAAAAAAAGATACTCCAGTAATAAAATGCCAATGTACACAGGTTCTAAATTTGAATAGACTTTCTAGTATCAAATTTACAGGGAGAAATTAATGTCCAGATGTTAAATGTCTTTGCCAGTTAAAATCTGAAGATGAAATTCAAAGGAATTCAAGACAGAAATCAAATTCTAATGTTTAGTGAGTTAAAACATACAAAGACGTTCTCTCTTCCTTTTCTGTTTTTGCATGGTTTCCATCAAGGCGTTCTGAGGTATGATTTCTTTACCCCTGCATCCTGGGCTACCTCTCATTGGGAAGACCACTGTTCCATCCTGGCTATCAAAGTCATATTCCCTTAACTCTAAGCCTCTGATGAACCTCAATTTTAGAAGGTCAAAGATGTAACAAGATACACAAGATTTCACAACACCCAGCACATTTAGGAAATAAGCCAATCCTCAGCTCTGAGAACAGTAATTCCAGTGGAAATTGTTTCTGGAACCCAGTATGTATATGTCACCAAAGCAATAGAAGAGACCCCATGGAATCTGAGTGAAGCAAGGAGGTGGTGAAAATCTTGATTTGAACCTCACTGATCAGTATGTGTGAGTTAGCTAGAATTCATGACCTATGGACTTTAATCTGGGAGAAATAAGATTATTATTGGCACTATGCATTTACTATATATGGACTAAAAATCCACTTTATGTATACTGTCTCCTCTTTTTTTAATTTTTATTTATTTATTTATTTATTTTATTTATTCTGTCATTTTAATGTAAGATTGAAACAGACTATCACAACAATATTTGAAGTTTCACAGAGAACCGCATGCTTTTGCTATTAAAAGACCTTTGTTGAAGTATTTGAACTTTAACTTTTAGGAATTGAAGAAATATGGAGATTTCAAGTATTTTGGTCAGCACACAATTATTCACAACAACCTTCTAGATACTTATTTTCTACCTTTTCCTAAGAAAGGTAATTCTCACTTACCAGAAGGCTACCACCACCAGAAGCTCTGGAGCTCAAAAGTGATCAGAAACCACAAATTAGCATAATTAGTAGTCCAAAGCTTGGTTTAAGTGTTTAAAGAACAGCAAATACCAAATAATACAGTAACAAATAAAACATTATTGTCTCTATAAGGTAACAACTCATTAGCTACAATCCACCTAAGATTGAAATTTTCTGTACTCAGTTTCTCACACCTTCATTCTTAATGCTTCTCATGGCATCACAGTTTTTAGAAATTAAACGATGTATTTTCAGCATTTCACAGTAATCATCACTTTCAAAAACTACAATATACATCTGCATGTTACACTAACATACAATACATAAGTACTTTGTCATAGAGCAACTCTTAGCCTCAAATAATAGTATACAAAAAGCTATACAGGACAAAACACCACAGGACTTCTGAATATCCTCTTTCACTAGTTGTTAGCAGGTAGTACTTTTTCTAAAGAGAAAGTGATGAAAAGTCAGAAATTCTGCATCCAATGTTTGACTTCAACTTTCTGCTTTATCGTCTTCTGGTACCACCATATCCTGACTCAGTTATTGTTTTTGTATCTGAGTTTGAATTTGCCGAATAGCCACCTGAGCCTCCATGAAGTGGTGAGTAAGCGCGGCTATTCCAGGTGCTGGAGTAGGGTGGAGAATAGGATGGGTGGTACCACGAGTTTGAGAAGGGTGTTGCTGCTCTATTGCTGCCAAACAGGTATCCTAATATTCCTCCAGTTCCCAGGCCAGTCCAGAATCCTGGTCCTGAATTTTCATATCCTTGTTGTCCTGTGAAAGCACTACCAAAACCATAAGTCGCACCATGGCCGGTATTCTGCGGTCCTGTGAATTGAGACTTAAAGCCTGGAGGAGGAGGTCCAGCTGAGTTGGTGAATCTCTGATAATGGTGGGAAAATGAAGGATACTCAGAATACGGTGGAGGAGAACACTGACCATCGCTAAGGAACAGCTTATACGCTGCAAAGGCAATACCAAGTAGCACCACGATGGTAATCAATCCACCCGTGCTACAGGAATCTGCCGAGTACCACTTGTTATAATAATCAGAGAAAGAGGTAAAGCCAGAGTGTTTTCCAGACTCTTTCAATTTCTTCAGGCCAAGTTCAGTGTAATCTAAATTATACTCCAAGCCACAGGAACCTCTTAGTACATACTGGCCTTCAGAGGATTCATAGCCCTCACAGCTCACCACAGTTTTTCCAAATTTGTATGCAACATCTAGATCAGTCTTACATTCCCACTGTACGTCATAACCATCCCATCCTTTGTTCCGACCCCGTATGACTTTCGGTGTGTAAGAATCACAACCAGCTGTGCCTCCAACACATTTCAACTGTGGGATCGGATCGAGCCTACGAGAGGTGGTATAGCGGGCGTAGTGGAGGGTAAGCTCTTTTACATCCCGTAACAATATTCTGTCAGGGTCGTTCCGGCCCAGTGCAGGGCCCGCAATCAGCGGGAGCAAAAGCAGGCCGAGGAGCCGGCAGCGCCCGGCAGCTCCCAGCCCGCCAGCTGCGGCCATGGCGCTGGGTGAAGATGGCGCTGGGTGAAGATGGCGCTGGGTGAAGATGGCGCTGGGTGAAGATGGCGCTGGGTGAAGATGGCGCTGGGTGAAGATGGCGCGCGGCTGCCCGGCGCCGGCTGGCCTGAGGCGGGCTGCGGAAGTGCGCCAGCTGCTGCGTATGGACGCCGGGAGATCCAGTGGCAGGGAGCGGAAGGTCTCTTTTTTTTATTTTTTATTTTGAGACAGAGTCTTGCTCTGTCACCTGGGCTAGAGTGCAGTGGCCTCATCATAGCTCACTGCAACCTCAAACTTCTGGGCTCAAGATCCTCCTGCCTTAGCCTCCTGAGTAGCTAACTGGGACTAGAGGTGTATGTCGCTACTACACCCAGTTAATTGTTATAGTTTTAGTAGAGATGGGTCTTGCTCTTGCTCAAGCTGATCTTGAATTCCTGATCACAAGCAATCCTCCCACCTTGGCCTCCCTGAATGCTAGGATTACAGGCGCGAGCCACCGTGCCTGGCCTGTCTCCTCTTTTTGGAGAGTGGCATTTGAGATGTTATTTCCTACTTGCAATGTTTAGAAATTTGTGACAGCAGTTTTTTATTGTGAAGTGTCTGTCTTTCTTACCCAGCATATTCAACACCTCTTAACTTCCATTTCCCTTTAAGTCTCTAGGGACTGACTAGAGTGCAGGTGCTACCTAGCATCCTATTGTCAATGTTCTCTTATACCCTTCAATCATGTGCCCGGGGCCTGTTTCCATTGCTTCTTGCTTTGGAATTGCTTAGGATTTAGAAACCTACCTCCTGGGAGTTTCCTTTCTCCTGTGAATTAAACCAGCTGGAATTAAAATGAGATACCAGATGGGGATGATCCTTGAGCCACCTGAATCCAAGTTAAGCTGATTGATGTTTTGCTCCCTG